ATTTATTTATACTTGTACTTCATATTTCAAAATTGTAAACTTGTACTTCATATTTCAAAATTGTAAATTTGTAGTTGTACTTCAAATTAATTTGTAAACTAGTACTTCATATTTCAAATAAATATGCATTCACTTTTTCATATGTAACACTTCTCAAATTAATTAATTGGTTACAAACTAACGACTTAAAATTATTTTTTTAAAATATAAAGCCGGTTTTTTAATTAAAAATACATTTACAATATGTAATTTGTTTAAATACTTATACACCTATTTTGTAACATTTGTAAATTATAAATCAAACCACTTTTCTAAGTACAAATAGTTTTACTTAATTCATTAAATTAATTAATTTATTTTACAATATGTATAACTTAAAAAAAAAAAATTTTGAAATAAAACCTCCCAAACGGCTATATAGCCGTTGGGGCTATGGGTGGGGGGCAGGGGGGTCCCGGGGGTGGTGGTGTGGGGAGTGGGGTTCAAAAACATCTATAAATACATCTATTTTCTAACATTTTTCTACACCTCTTCTCCAACTCTTCTCCATCTTCATCTTCTCTTATTATCCTACATTCCTACAATCCTACTTATACATATACCATTTTAAATATGGAAAGTACATCTTCCCTTATGCAAAACAATTTTGACAAGTGGAAGGACCCGAAGACCGGACTGTGGTGGGCAACTTGCAAGTGGTGCTTGGGGCGTTCACACGGATACGGGATACCAATAAAACATATGAAGTCCTGTGACAAAGGGAAAACAACAACCAACAGTGGCGGAAATCCCAATTGATATTCATTAGAAAATGTATTTCGTATTGTTATTTTTTTCTCAATTCTCAAATGTAGTTCCTATTTCAAATAAATGCACTTGAACTTTGTTTTTAATAGGAATTTGTATAATATATAATTAATTCAAAAAAAAATACTGGCCCGGCCCGGCCTGGCGGGTGGCCCGGCCCGAACCGGAACCGGCCATTGCCCGGGTCGGTCCCGGGCCTTCCTTTACCAGACCCGAGGCCCGACCGGGCCTTGGCCCGGCCCGGGCCAGACCCGGCCTAGGTCCATCACTAATTGTAGGGGCAATATCCCTGTCCCATTGTGGATACACCACTATTTGTAGGACATATTGTTTTGGGTGGATATTGTGAAACAAATTTTAACATCTACACATATATTATGCAAAGACACGTACTATTGTTATGCTTAATCAAAGTAACATTTCATTTCACATTAAATGTTACTCGTAATACTTTCCCGAATAAGGTCTCCAACCTCCAAGATGATTGATTAGTGATACTCCTAATTGATACTCCCTCCGTCCCAATTTGATAATCCCGTATTTCCTTTCTGGACCGTCCCAAATTGATAGTCCCATTTCCCTTTTTGGAAAGAAATATGTGGTCCACATCATTTCACCTTTTTCTACTCAAATCTCAACCACAACTTTTATCTTTTCAACTACTTCCTTAATCTTTGAGCTCAAAAGAAATGAGATCATCAAATTGGGACGGATGAAGTACTACTAAATATATAACGAAATGCTATGGAGTACTTTTATTAATCCTATTAATGATTACGGGTATTAGGGTATACGGAGTACCATCTAGATATACTGTGCATTCCATATATGTGACCAAATAGTCAAATACTATGGACATATCGTACCGTTTACACGCAGGAATGCAGGATTGCATTTATGGACTCACAGTGGCGGTCTTTTAAAATTTTACACACAGTATTCCCATTATGTCCTTAAATTCGGCGGGATTTTTACCTCCAAAACAGTAACAACTCTGCTACTTTATACTACCTCCGGTTTTTTTAATCTTCACAGTTTGACTTCACACAAAATAAGGAAAGAAATTTGACTTTACTGTAGAGTACACTGTTGAGGCACTGTTTGACACTGTTTGGCACTGTAGAGACACTGTTTGGCACTGTTGAGACACGGTTTGACACTGTTTGGCACTGTTTTGATGTAGATTTCTTTGCCAAAAAAGGAAATAAGGAAGTGTGAAGTTTATTTTAGACCGTCCCAAAAAGGAAAGTGTGAAGTTTATTAAAAACCGGAGGGAGTATATTATATAAAAATATACTCACTCATATGTTTTTTAACGATACCCACTCATACGTCACAAAGTTGATTATGTAGTTGTTACAATATAACTTCACTACGTTTTTACCTCTTATTTCTCATGATTTAATGCTTATGAATTTTAGCAAATAAACATTTAATTGATTTATGTGTACATATACATTGAATTGATGTATTACTGATTACTCCATTGAATTAAGGTCCATATACAACATTTGATATGGAGTACTTTTTGGTGCGAAGTATTTTCTCCAAGTAGATTTAATTAATGCTCCGTACGTTTTTAAATTTATCAAGACTAATATTTTTGAACTTTAAAAAAAAAGACTAATATTTTTGTCTCTTTTGTATATATGGGCACGTATGTATGGTGGACAATTGGTGAATTGGACAGTCCGTTTCGTTTGATTTACAGCCTCAAGATCGACTAATGGGTAGGTTGCAATTTTTGTACATTCATTTCCCTTAATTATGCCCACGGTTTTCCCTCCAATTATGGTAAGGGCTACTTTATATTATATAGAGATAGATAGATTATTATATATTATATAGAGATAGATAGATTATTATAGATATTGTAAACAATCTTATTTATTTCTTTGCATTAAGTGAAGTCCTGCCAATTATGTATCATTATTATCATTATTATTATATTATAATAAAAATAATTATTATTATCTATCATCATCATTATAGATTATTTTGAATTGAAAATATTTCAATTACTCCAATATTCAAGTAACTCTTATTTTTAATGGGTATGAAGAATTAAATCTCTAATTGGAGGGAAAAGCAAGGTGCAACACCTTGTTACTTTATATTATTATAGATAGATAGATAGATTAGCTATCATCATCATCATTATAGATTATTTTGAACTGAAAATATTTCAATTACTCCAATATTCATGTAACTCTTATTTTTTACTTCATCCGCCCCGCTAAGATTGTTCCATTTTACCTTTTCGGGAAATCCCACTAAGATTGTTCCATACCATATTTGGTAAAGATTGTGTGGCTCTAAATCATTCTAACTTTATTTTTACTTTATCAATTTAATATCAACCACACAAACATACTTTTCTTAATAATCGTGTCACCTTCTCTCGTCCCAATCTTAGTGGGACGGAGGTAGTAAGGATGTTTTCTTTTGGACTATTTTCAGTCCCAGACCAGACCAGACTAGACCAGACCAGACCAGATCAGACCAGACCAGACCAGACCAGGACTTGGATAGTTATAAAATACACAGAGACCAGACGTTTACGAGACCAGACCAGTTCAGACCAGACCAGACCAGATCAGGCTTAAACAGACCAGACCAGATCAGACCAGACCAGCAAATTTCAGTCCAAAAGAAAACATCATAATAGGTATGAAGCATAAAATGTCTAATTGGAGAGGAAAGCAAAGTGCCACACCTTGTTACTTTATATTATTATAGATAGATATTCATGTAACTCTTATTTTTAATGGATATGAAACATTAAATCTCTAATTGGAGGGAAAACCAAGGGGCAACACTTTGTTACTTTATATTATTATAGAAGATAGATTATCTATCATCATCATCATTATAGATTATTTTGAATTGAAAATATTCCAATTGCTCCAATATTCATGTAACTCTTATTTTTTAATAGGTATGAAGCATTAAATGTCTAATTGGAGAGAAAAACAAAATGTCACACATTGTTACTTTATATTATTATATTATAGATAGATATTCATGTAACTCTTATTTTAATAGGTATGAAACATTAAATGTCTAATTGGAGGGAAAAACAATACTTTATAGATAGATACAATCATAAAAATTTGGAAGTTGCGATTCAAAAAACAAAGTGACCGATAGTGACCGATTTGGATTAGGTTTTGGATTAAAAAAACTCATTTGGCCGGTAGGATCTTGAGCTACTTAATTATTGAAACAGTCATGGTTAGTTGTTTATATTTATAAAAGAAATAATTACAGATTACAATACATTTTAAATGTGACTTTCTAAGTGTGGTAGCTAATGTTTTAATTTACTCGATCATAGTAACTTGTGCTGAGTTTTTTAGTTAAGTGGTTATGAGAAAATATTGTACAGATTGAATAAATAAAACCAATGGATTCAAGTAGCGGAAATGACACCATTATATGACAAAATATGATGTCTTTTTTTTTGAATAAAAAAATGATGTCCTTGAGAACATTGAGATAACCAATGATAACGAGACTTGGTTAAATTTTCTAAATAGAATACAAACATTTAAAAGGCATATTGATTTTCAGTTCGGTTTTTATCGTTTTCGATTCCGTATGGAACGGGTAGTACAAAAAAAAAATCATACAATTTTTTGGTTTGATTCGATTCGGATTTGTTATTTTTTAATAATATATGAAGATTTTATTGAATTTCTTTAGTTCGTTTTGATTTTGTCCGGTTGTTATCGGTTTCGATACAGTTCGGTTTAATACGGTTTATAAGAAATACCACCAAACTCAAAGCAAATTACACATGGTCCGATTTTGGTTCGGTTTGGTACGGTTCGATTAAACCAAACCAATATACCACCCCTAATATTAATGGCTAATTATATTACTCCATCCGTCCCATTTTACATGTCCTACTTTCCTTTTTGGGTTGTCCCAAAATAAGTGTCTTCTTTCCTTTTTTGGAAAGAAATATGTGGTCTACACCATTTCATTTTATTATACTCAAACTTCAACAACAATTTTTACTTTTTCAACCGCTTCATTAATAACCGTGTCAAGTCAAATTAAAGACACATTTTCACGGAGGTAGTATTAAATTAGATTACGGAAAAATATACTGTATCATTTTACGGACAATTAAGAGCTCCTAACTTGAAGTAGACTCGTATCTTACAGTTTTCATAGTTGATACATTGTGCAGATGTCCCTCCTATACTAATCCGCCACAGCACTAGTATAGCACTATAAGTAATCCGTACGATATACTCGTCCGTATTTGAATATCCCCGTCCTTTACTTATCTGATTTGAATATACACACGATAGATAAGAAGTGCATTGCCCAGTTGCCCACCTTTCTGGCGAAGCATCCACTACTTTGGATTTCTCCAGAAACAATGGGGCCGGTCAACGTCCATGCCACCGATACAATCCCGGCGGCGCCCTCGCTCATGACGGATTTCCTTCAGCAGTGTGGCGGTCTGGCCGTGATCGACGGCGGCCTAGCTACGGAGCTGGAACGTCACGGCGCCAACCTCAATGATCCTCTCTGGAGTGCCAAATGCCTCCTTGATTCCCCTCACCTCATCCGCGCGGTATAGTCTCTTCTTTCCGTTATCTTCTTCCTAAATTAGGATTTTTAGTTTCCAGTTTCTACTTAATTTTGTTCTGTGCCGAGTGCGGATTTGTTCAATCAGACATTTCTCTCTGCTCCCACCGAGTTACGGAAGAAATCTTCAAGTTCATCCCTGGTTCAAACATCCAAGAAGCCGTCTTTGGTTTCTATAGTTATACCTTTTCATTATCATCGATCTTCAATATCATTTGCGATATCTTCTAAATATCTTATATAGAAAGGCACCATTTGGTGTATCTGCTTTAACAAATTTGGGGTTGACCATCAGTTCTCTATATTACTTATTGGCTGACATAGAACAGGTACACCTGGACTATCTTGAAGCTGGTGCCAGTGTGATCATCTCCGCATCCTATCAGGTATGTATTTTTCTACAACTTACAAGTCATTATAATCACTGATTGAGTGGCTGTACCTATATCCATATCTGGGCACCAGCTTGTCTTTGGAGCTGAATTTCATTCTTCTCATATATGGACAGGCAACCATTCAGGGGTTCAGGGCCAAGGGGTTTTCCCAGGAAGAGAGTGAGGAGCTACTTAAGAAGAGTGTTGAAATAGCATGTGAAGCACGGGATTTATACTATAAAAAGTGCAGAGAGTCTTCTTCTGATTATACTACTGATGGGAAGGTTCTTAAACATCGTCCCATTTTAGTTGCTGCATCTGTTGGGAGTTATGGGGCGTACTTAGCAGATGGTTCTGAGTACAGGTATGTTTGTCTTGAGAAAGTGTTCGATTTTCTTCTTTCACCTGTTAGAAAATATCCTGTTGTCTTGGGAAAGTGTCACATTTCCTTTCTAAACACATATAGTTGAATATTCTTGTGATATGCACCTTACATCTCTTTATAGTGGGGACTATGGAGATATGGTCAACCAGGAGTTCCTAAAAGATTTTCACAGGAGGAGGCTTCAGATTCTTGCAGATGCCGGTGCTGATATAATTGCATTTGAAACTGTTCCCAATAAGATTGAAGCTCAGGTATTCTCTATGTGTAGTAAATTTTAGTACATTCATTACATTCTTGTTTGCAGCTTGTGACATTATAATTATGTGTAGTCCAACATTGATCATGCATTTATTTGGGCTGCTTTCATGGGCAGATCTAGCCTGCTTCGTGGGGGTGGGTGGGGTGAGATAACAGTCTCCAATAATATTTCACTAGATTGGGTAAATTATTTAATCTTTCTTTTCTATTTGGCTCTGATATCATGGATCGTTTCATGTTAGGTGAACCCAAAATCTTTTGGGGATAAGGCTTGGATGTTGTTGTATTGGGTATAATATTTACAAAAATAAATAGTCCAACCACTTGCCTCCAAAAAATCATTTCGTCCAAATAAAAAAGAACCAAGTGAAAAGAAAGCCTCTATATCCTAATCAATAACCTCCTCTTACTCTTGGCCAATTTACAAATGTAATTGAACTAGTAACGACTACCTTATTTACTTGATTTAATAATAAGTGTTGAGTGGTTACTGACATTCTCACCAAGGCCCTTCCAAAGAACAAATTCGAAAATATAAAGAGCAAGCTGGATATGATTGATATCCATATCCAACATGAGGAGGAGTGAAGATTCCTGAGTTATTTTTCCTTATTTGTTTACCTTATTTAGCTTGGAGGGGTAGTATCGTAATTATCAGAATTATTTAGGTTGAGTCACTGAGAAGATATGAATGCTGAATAATAAAGACGATAGCCTCTCTCTATCTCTCTCGTGTCCTCTTGTATCTACAATAGAGCTGCAGAACTCTAGATCTAGTATATTTGATAGAGAAAGGCATATTAGGGATTATTACCAATGAAAGTATAATATCATTTCACATTGTCAAAACTTTTTGGGAGAAGTGTGTGTTAGACTCCCTTGTTGATCCACCACTTGTTTGTCTTGTTTGTCTATCCACCACTTGTTGATCATGGGTTTCAAGTAGTTGACATTTCATGATGATAGTACATGCTTAGTTTTTATGATATTGAACGACTCTTGGCTCTTAAATAGGCTTATGTCGAGCTACTTGAGGATGAGGACATCAAAATTCCTGCATGGTTATCCTTCAACTCTAAGGATGGCATCAATGTGGTCAGTGGTGACTCTTTATTAGAATGTGCTGCCATTGCTGATTCATGCAAGAACATTGTCGCTGTGGGGATAAATTGTACCCCTCCGAGATTCATATCAGATCTAATTTTGTCCTTAAAAAAGGTAATCCCAAATTATGTCCTTTTTTCCGCCTTAGAAAAATAAGATTGTGATTGGCTTAGGATTCCAGCAGCACATTCCTTGTGAGATAATATAATTATTATCTGTGTTTTATGTTTGAGGCAATGACTATCTTTATAAGCTTATGTGATGTTTTTGTATTGTATTTATTAGGCCACTGCCAAACCAATTCTTATATATCCAAACAGTGGCGAGACTTATGATGCCGATAAAAAGGAATGGGTTGTAAGTAACTACCCTTTTTTATTGTTTCAGCTTAAACATTACATTGCTATGGTGACAACTCTTTGAAATCGCTTAAGCATTCATTTGCATTTAGGAACTCTGTTGTGATTTTTTACCCTGTCTTGGTTGTTCATTAGAAATGGATTATAGATATTCTGGATCATTGTCTTGGTTATTTATTCATTGGTCAGAAATTTATGTTAGGGCTTAGGAGTGCCAAATTTGAAAACATTTATACTGGAGGAACAAAGGTTCATATGCAACATATTTCCGTTTTCTGTACATCACACACCTCCACCCATCCACACCCTCCATGGCTCCCCATTGTTCTGTGCAGAAGCAAGGAGGAACAACAGTACCCCCACTAAATCATTTGTGCTATTGCATGAAAAGTATTTTCGTTTATAAAAGAAAGAATTTTACTGCTTTATTTAGTAGAGGAAGACACCCTGTTACTACACTAATTTATGTTGGTGCAGCAAAATACAGGGGTGTCTGATGATGGTTTTGTTTCCTATGTGAACAAATGGTGCGAAGATGGAGCATCTCTAGTTGGAGGGTGTTGCAGAACTACTCCTGACACTATTAGAGCAATATATGCTGTCCTCTTGAATGAGCAAGTGGGCAACCCCAAGTAAAAGCATCCCATTCAACTTCAAGCTAAATGAGTAAGTAATGGGGGCGTCGGCAAGTTTTTGTTTTGGCTGGCGATGGAGTTAATCGAATATAGAAATCTCACCAAGCATTCGCTTTTGTGGGTTTGAGAGATTTCAATAGATGGTAATGTCGCTGAGAGTTTGGTCACAGGTTTTCTGTTTTAAATGAGAATGATAAATGTGAAAACAGATAACCGTGTAAAGCTTGGACCAAGAGGTTGGGCGGTTTAGATGGAGAAGAATGGATCATTTAGAAGTAAAAGATTAATAGCCTTGCTGTTTTTTGTTTTTCTAGCTACTCCAGTGAAAATTTAAAAGAGAGAATTGTCTGACCAACAACCAACAAAGGAAATTTTAAAAATTCAAATTTTTTGTTTGATCAACCACCGAAAAGAAGATGCAGTTGAGCACTAACTTCTCAGTCCTCAGAGTGAAGTGGTGATTCAGGAGGACAAATAGTTCTTGATTCAGAAGAACTAGGATGAAATTGTCTTGTCAATCATGAATAATGAAAACTCGCCACTCGATCGGTTACATTGACAAGGTACACACAACCTCTAGACGTTGTTAGGGAATGATAAATTTAACGCTCACCTAAAGGAAACATAACTCTCATCCAAAGAATAAGCCGGATCAAAATCAGAACCCTAGAAGGTAGAAATAAAAAAAAGAATGTCAGCATAGAAAGACCTTTGTTTCATTAGTGCATTGAAGACTCTTATCGATATGAGAGAAGAAGGCCAGGAAATCATATCGTTTTGGAGAATTATCTAGGACTTGACACCTCGATTTCCTTAAGGCGCCCCTCACTCTTCGTCCACTGTAAATATAATAATGGGGATGCATTGTGCTCCACGGATTATTAGTTCCAACAGAATGCATTCGCTCCACCCCAATTGCCATTTATAAGAAAAGAGTAAAAGACCATTCGTATACCATGCTATAACTCGGTGCAAGGGTCCTAGACTCCTATACAAATGAAAGACTATAATATACTCCATCCGTCCCATTTTACTTGTCCTACTTTCCTTTTTGGGTTGTCCCAAAATAAGTGTCTCATTTCCTTTTTTGGAAAGAAATATGTGGTTTACGCCATTTCACTTTATTAAACTCAAATCTCAACTACAACTTTTGTTTTTTCAACCACTTCATTAATAACCGTGCCGAGTCAAACTAAGACACATAAAATGGGACGGAGGTAGTAATACTATACATAGAAGGGAAAGCATAGCAGGGGAGCAGACATGCATTCTAGGCACTACTTACCAGGATCGTAGTCATGATCAAAGTTTGGGGTGAGCCGATATAAAGATCTTTTACAGTTAAAATTTTTCACATATATTTTTACAATAAAAGTACAAAGAATTTTTACACCCTCTACCTCCGCCCCTGCTACTTACTATTTCCTCTCATCGCAAAATGATTTATAAAGTAAACTTCTTATGGTCAATATGGTTTCACTTTATCTACTTAGCATATCAATTTTTTTTATTATATTCTAATTTGGATTTTGTGACTTGAACTTTCAATATAATATCCGAATATGTAAATTTTAAATATTTAATCTAATTTAATTATGTACACAGACATTTAATTTTATCGTCGGTCAACCTTAAAATACGCAAAGTGCAATTCAATTTGGGAATGAAAAAATAGGTTTTTAATTGGACTGAAACTTTCTTGTATAAAATGATCTGATTTGGTCTGAATTGATTTATTTAAATCTGATCTAGTTTGATCTTGTATGAACCGATCTGGTATGATAGACGTCTGTTCTATATGAATTGGTCTGGTGCGAGACTGAAACCAATTCAAATAAAAATATTCTTAGTCCTCCGCTAAACACCCTCCTTAACAAGGACCGGAAAATGAGAAGTCCACTAAGCTTCAATTCCATTCCCAAAGCGGGTCCTATTTTGATTATGATCATGGACGGATGTAGTACATGTTAGGGTGGTCTAACCCAACCCATTTTTTAATAAAAAAGATGAAATAGACCTCTTTACTATTTGCAATTCATCACTTAAGTTCTTTTACTAAAAAACATCAAATAAGTATGATTACTTTTTAAATACAATCAATCAAGCCATTTGACTTGTTATAGCAAGTTATTTAGAAAAATATTAAAGTTATTGATAACTGTTACAAAAAATTATATAAATTTGAAAATAATATAATAATATAAAACTAGCATAAATGTAAAAATGCATTGGCTATCCATATTTTAGACTTTAATCTCTTTTTCTTTTCCTAATGAGTCAGGCCTAGCCCCCTCATTAGAATTTATGTCTTTTTTATTCTTGAAATTTCCTTATTGGAGAGGTATTGGCATGGACCCCCTCTTCTGTATCCTTTTTCTATTTTTTAATAAAATCCGGTAAATGTTCCCCGGCATTTACCCCACTGATTTAGGTGGTTTGCCTACCGGGTTAAAAAAAAAAAAAAAATGTAAAAATGCATAAATAATTTGAAAGCGTTGAAATAAAACAAACAAAAAAAAACAAAATTAAAACCTGAAAAAAAATTGAAAATTTTATAAAGGTAAAATATTAAATATAAAAACCTTTTAAATAGATATAGAATAAGAAAATAATTTCAAAAATTAAAAATTATCGACTTTGACATTTTGAAAAGTCTCAATTTTTATTTGTATTCCTTCAACTTTTAACAATTTTTAAGAGTTTTAATAGAAAACCTACTATGCAGGTCAAAAACTGAATAAATAGCCAAATTGATCAAGTTTTGAAAGTAAGCGTACTCATGATATGATATTTCTTTTAGTATAGAGATTCAATTGATATTTCAGAAATGGCATAAGGGCTTATTTGACTCCTTTTTAATTATAGATATAGATTTATAAAAGATTGATGTTCAACTTCACCCATGCCAGGCCAAAAAAATCGAAGTCCAAGCTAATTTCATGCTGTCTTGCTTGTAAGACACTAAGGCCATAACCTTCATTTTGTCCTTCACAGCCTGTTTGGATTGAGTGTTAGGAAGTGTTAGTAATGGAAGTGTTGAGTGGTGTTTGTTTTAACACTTGTTTGGCAGATTTTTTTTTTTTAAAATGGAGTGTTAGTAAGTGTTAGGAGAAACCTCTCTAACCACACCTCAATGAGTGACTTTTTTAACACCCCAAATTGGAGTGTTTAGGACAAATCTTGCCCTTCTCTATTGCCTTCTCCCTCCACCCTGCGTTCAGGTTTTCACCAACCGAGGTCTTCTTCTGATATAGCCTTAATAACTGAGCTAATGTCTTGTTGTTCAAATCAGCCTAAATACGTAGTAGCAGTTAAAAGATTGAAGGAAAACTGGAGCTTTCGTTATTCTTCTTCCTTCATTTGGGAGTCATCGCTAGCTGCTGCGGCACTTTTTTCCCTGCACAACAAAGGCTAGAATATTATGAGAGGGAAATAGTGATCGTTTCGAGTCATTGGCTTCCAACTATTGAGGCGAGGATGGACTTGATTAGGGCTTCCAATTTGTATTGCTTCTAGAGTTTAGATAAGGATATTATTGTCAATTTAATAGCACACACTTCTATTATTAACACCTCGTTTTTTTACTTTCCCAAACAGGGTAAGTTTATCCTTAACACTTACACTTCCCTTCCCTTCCGGACCTTAGCCAACACTTACTAACACTTCCATTACTAACACTTGTCAACACTCTATCCAAACAGGCCGTCAGACTCCAGCAATCCAGTGTGCAGCAACCAAACATTTTTTTTTTTGAAAAAAAACCAACATCTTTCCAATAGTGTTTATTAATTATAATTATTATTGATGATATCAATTTAGTGAAGGTCTATTAATTTAAAATATAATTCATAAGTTTAACTCTTATAATTTTAATACATCATAATTTCATATACAATTGGAGATTAGTGAACAAATTAATATACAAAAATTTAACGCGTTAATGAACGTATATTGTACATATGCAATGACCACTAATGTCGTACATCGAAACGGTGAAATGAATATTTAACTAGTACAAAATGGACCTCAGGTTTGGCTCGATAGATGTTTGGTGTTCGATCTGATCGCTCGATAAGCTCGATAAACATGCTCAAGTGTAGAAGTTTAGATTATACTCGTTAATAGATTCATATTTGAATTATTCGATAAATACTCAAATCTTTAACAACTATTTCTAAATTTATAAAAGTGCAGTAAAGAAGTCTAAATTTTAGATATATATATTTTTTCCTAATAATAATTAGTGATCGATATAATAAGTATTTGAACTCATAATACGTTTGAACTCACTGTGTTTGAACTCAGATTGAATAAGTATGTATTCGAATTCAAAATCTAGCTCATATTTGAGTTCAAGGCTCATCAAGCTCAGGTCGTTAAATTAGATTCGGAATCAAACTTGAATTCGAATAGTTCAAAAAAAGCTCGGTTCGATAACACCCCTAAGCTAAACCTCGTTTGTGTAGTCATAATGTTATTTACTGTTTAGTTCACCCCACCTCTCATTCCTGGATCTGTCTCTATTTCCGATCAACTTTTTTTGCCATATTAAAAAACAGAGTCATATAATTAGTCTTGTTTCGCTTTGAAGAACCAAAATCGTATTGAGTTGAGCCGATACTATTGTGTATCGATTTCAACTCGTTTCTATTTACATTGTTATGGTCTAAACGATTTATAATTTTGTGGGCCCGTATTGAGTAAATCGTATTTACTGTTGGTGACCACTTTTTCGGTTTATCCGCAATTTTTTACCAAACACCTAAATTTTGATTTCATGCGCTAAATTTTGTAATAATCAAAATAAGTAAGGTTGAAGTTACTTTTCTGGATAAATTGGTTGAAGTTATTATAAAGGACGATTTTAGCTAGTTTTCATATAATTTTTTCTTCATTTTATTAATAAAATTTATTTTTAATCTAATTACTCACATTGTCGCATTAAATTATTCCTGGTTTGATTTGGATCCGAGTTTAAGAAAATGGAAATGTATGATTGTACATGGTTGAGTAAAAAAAGGGTAAATGAATATCAGTGCACGAAACTTTCCAAAAATGAAAACGGGAGAGACATCTCAAAAAGGTAAGTGAGACCGGAATAGTATTTCTTAATTCAACAAATTCAATTATTTCAGTCAAATTAAAATTCAATCAATTTCAGCAGAATTAATTGATTCAACTAATTTCAGTCTTACCGAAGTAACCCTATATGTGGAGTTAGTTATTGTCTCGTGCAATTTCAGTTCTTATATCCATAACTCGCATGGTTATGATAAAAATGAGGAAATAAGAAAAGTCATAATATGCAATTCCAAAGCCAGGATAGCGTAATCCAAGGAATCTTAATCCGGTTTATGGATCCTTGTTTTGCGCAAAATTCTAG